GGGTTCGGGCTGGGTTCAATCGGGTTCGGGTTCAAACGGGTTGCGGGTTAGTCAGGTTGCGGGTTCATCGGGTTCGGGTTCATCGGGTTCGAGTTCAAACGGGTTGCGGGTTAGTCGGGTTGCGGGTTCATCGGGTTCGGGTTCAATCGGGTTGCGGGCAAATCGGGTTGCGGGTTCATCGGGTTCTGGGTCGGGCGGGTTGCGGGCGGGTCAGGTTTCGGGTTGTTCGGGCCAGCGCATCAAGTAACTTAACTCATTACTCATTACCAACTTACACATTTTATTACACTAATTTAAAATATTTTCTCAACTTTTTAACCAATTTATTTCTACCTCGTATATATATACTTTATTTTTTTGAAAAAAACTAGTCAAAATTTTAAATCAATTTGTATGACTTGCAAACTTGTTATTTAATTAATCATAATTGGTAAAGTATTATAGCTAATAGTAATGGTGATATTAATATTTGCAACCAAAAGACACCGTTAATTGTTTATTTGATATTTTAATATTAATTCAGTAGTAATTGAATTAAAGTATCTCGTTTAGTATAACCATGCAAATCTGGTATTTGGCGTGTGGTAATTGGCAAAAGCATAGTGATAAAAGGAGTTATTTCAAAATAACTCATTGCCCAAATAACTTCAGTAAACTGTTGCCAAACGAGTTATTTGTAAAATTGTTCGAATTATCCTAAAAATTGAACCATTAAAGATTAGCTATCAAATTTAGTAAAATTATTGTGACTTCAATCATAACTTACTCAATAGCATATATACTATACACTTAGCCTTACCCTCAATCAACAATATTAAGTTAGTATATGTTGTTGATTGTATACCCTAAACCATCAATACATTATACACTAACCACATAACCTATACCCTAACCATATGTCCTTGAGTTGTGATTTTGCTAGTATAGTTAATTTAAAAAGAAATTCATACTTTGATTTTCAAAACATAGATAAAAAGTGATATTTGCTAATTGTTATACCCTAACCATATATCCTATACTTTACACCACATACCTTGTACCATAACCACGTACCATAAACATAAATTAAAAAGGGATCTCCTGCCGTTAAAGACTTCAAATGACTTCAAGTCAACATATGTTAATAAAAAACTTAGAACCGTCAAAACCATCAATATCTTATACCCTAACCATATACTTTATATCCTAAACAACGAACCGTCAAAGATTACTTATCAAGTTTAGTATAAATTGTTGTAACTAATGGTTAATTCATTTATTAGCCCATAAACAATTACATACATATATACATATTAGCCTTCAAAGCATATAAGAATAATTTTAACTAGTCATGCCCTCCATATAAAAGTTAAAGATTCATATTTCAAAAGCTAAAATTATGAAAAACCAAAAAATTGAAAACACCAAATTCGTTTCCTTCTTTCTTTTCACAAAAATACTAAAATTTCCCTCTTTCTTTCTCCTTCCATACATTAGAAAAACTCAATTTCCCCTCCTCTTTCTCTTCCATAAAATTGAAAGAACCAAATTACCCTATTCTTTCCTTCTACAAAAAGTTGAAAAGTAAAAAGTTTCCCTCCTTATTTCTCTTTCATAATCAAAAGAATCAAACTTTACTACTTCTTTCTCTTCCCACATATCAAAACCACCAAAATTCCCACTTGTTTCTTTTCTAAAAAAATTCAAAGAACCAAATTTCCCTCTTCTTTCTCTTCCCAAAAACTTGAATACACCAAAATTTCCCTCTTCTTTTAAAAACATCAAATTACCAAATACATTACTTTACTTTATTTATATTTAATTGATAATTTTATTGAATAGTTAAATTAACCAAAATTTTAATTTATATATTATATTAATATTGTCATGATCTCAAGTGACCTTCATGTTTCAATTTTGGTAATTTTCTTAAAATACGTAATATCAAGTGAGTTTCATATTTTTTAAATTTCTTATACGAAATGAAAAAATAATTTTACTTAAGTTTAGAATGAAAAACTTTATTTTGAAAAACTATGTATGTATATTTTTATAATTATTCAAGTGGATTAGATGAAATTCGGGTTGAGTCGGTCGGGTTACGGGTTAGTCGAGTTTGGGTCAATCGGGTTCGGGTTAATCGGGTTGCGGGTCAGTCGGGTTGCGGGTCAATCGGGTTCGGGTTAATCGGGTTGCGGGTCAGTCGGGTTGCGGGTTAGTTGGGTTGCGGGTCAATCGGGTTGCGGGTCGGGCGGGTTACGGGTTGTTGACTTTTAGTCAATTTGGGTTGCGGTCTGGTTGTGGGTCGGGTTGATCGGGCGGGTTAATCGGGTCGGGCTATGTTTTGACACCTATATGCATAACCATGGGTTATGCATCCATCAATAACCAAATATGGACCCTTCATTTAGAAAATCCGGATCTAAGGATGGAGAATTAAAGATTATTTTTATTTTCTCTAGCTTTCTTAATCGGCTCATATCTTTTTCCTTTTAACTCGGATTTTAATTTTTTTTGCACATATGAACGAGTTCATCGTGCTCTACAAAATGAGATCAATTTTCAATATTTTTTTAGAACAAAAAATTCTGACTTCTCGGTACCAACTGCATACCATATGGTATTTTCTTCATTTTTAATTCGTTTTTGAAAACGTTTGCACAGAAGGGACGAGTTCATCATGATCTATTGGATTTACAAATTTCTGGGTAAAAAAATTACAGGACCAAAAAATACCATACAATACCACCCTGGTACGGGGTGGTATTGTATGGTATCTTCTTCGTTTTTAATTCGTTTTTGAAAATGTTTGCACAGAAGGGACGAGTTCATCATGATCTATTGGATCTACAAATTGATGGGTGAACAAATTACAGGACCAAAAAATACCACACAATACCATGCAATACCACCCTGGTACGGGGTGGTATCTTGTGGTATACAATGTTAAAAGTCGTAAATGACAATTAATATATTTCTACTATCATGTATTCAACCATCCTACAGTCTTGGTTTGTTCATACCACCATGGTACTTTTTTCAAACCATATGTATGCTTTTATTTCAATACCAGTCAATACCATATGATATAGACTGGTAAAAAATGGCTCAATTTTTTTTGTTCGAAAAATATATAAAAGTGGATTTCATTTGAAGAGCACAATTAATCTGATCTAACTATGCAAAAAAAAAATTAGATTTCGACTTAAAATGAGTGAGAAATCGTCTGTCAAAAATTAAAGAGGGGAAAATTAAAGGCTCTCCAGGAGAGAGAGGATGCTGATGTCATGCTGATGTGGACGGGTTACTCATGGTTACTCACCACAAGGTTACTCACCGGATCTGCTCCCGGGTTCGGCTCCTATAAATAGCAGCCTCCCCAGCCCCTCTAAACACACCACAACGAGAAAAAACACAATAGAGAGAGTGTTCAGCGAACTCGAGTTTTCGCACAAAACCGCGAGTACTGAGAGGAGATGTTTTATCCTGGAGACGACCGGTTGATAGTCTGTCGTGCGCATCGAGGACAGTGCCGCGAACGTCTTAAAGAGAGCGACCTAGTCTGCTACTCAGCTCCAGATTCGATAACCTCGTTCTTGTTGTTCCATTCCTAACATATACTGCTAACATGATAAATTTTAGTAGGTGACACATAATTTGTGAGGAAAATATACGAAAGCATGTTGTAGGCAAGAAGTTATCGATTAATAGTTTGAGTCTCATAAACTGGAAACTTGCAGTTGAGACACAAGTCTTGCCTAGACATTCTTGTATTAGTTGAAAATTTTCTTCAAATAGTTGAAAGATGATCCTAAACTATTTAATATATGAATAGGGATAAATGCTCCAATATTTTAAAATAGAAGACCGAGTTACAACCATAACTTAAAATTTTTATCACATCCAAATTATTGAAATACTAAATGTATAAAATATATAATTGATGATGAAAAAATTCTTCCGACCCAAGGCCGGGCACAAGGACTCAAGATAGGGTGCATAACCCTATCTTGAGCCTTTATTTAGAAAATTCAGACTTAAGGAGGGAGAATTAAAGATCATTTTTATTTTTTCTAGCTTTCTTAATTGACTCATATCTTTTTCGTTTTAACTCGGATTTTAATTTTTTTTGAACAGATGGAACGAGTTCATCGTGCTCTATAAAATGAGATCAATTTTCAATATTTTTTTAGAAAAAAAAAATTATGGCCTCTCGGTACCAACTGCATACCATATGGTATCTTCTTCATTTTTAATTCGTTTTTGAAAACGTTCGCACAGAAGGGACGAGTTCATCATGATCTATTGGATCTACAAATTTCTGGGTCAAAAAATTACAGGACCAAAAAATACCACACAATACCATACAATACCACCCTGGTACGGGGTGGTATTGTATGGTATCTTCTTCGTTTTTAATTCGTTTTTGAAAACGTTTGCACAGAAAGGACGAGTTCATCATGATCTATTGGATCTACAAATTTATGGGTGAACAAATTAAAGGACCAAAAAATACCACACAATACCATACAATACCACCCTGGTACCGGGTGGTATCTTGTGGTATACAATGTTAAAAGTCATAAATGACAATTAATATATTTCTACTATCATGTATTCAACCATCCTACAGTCTTGGTTTGTTCATACCACCATGGTACTTTTTTCAAACCATAGGTATGCTTTTATTTCAATACCAGTCAATACCATATGGTATAGACTGGTAAAAAATGGCTCAATTTTTTTTGATCGAAAAATATATTAAAGTGGATATCATTTTGAAGAGCACAACTAATCTGATCTTACTGTGCAAAAAAAAATTAAACTTCGACTTAAAATGAGTGAGAAATCGTCCGTCAAAGATTAATGAAGGGAAAATTAAAGGCTTTCCAAGAGAGAGATGATGTTGATGTCATGCTGATGTGGACGGATTACTCATGGTTACTCACAATAAGGTTACTGACCTGATCCATTCCCGAGCACAAGTAATATTTAAGTTTCAGTTATGAAGATGCGGGATTAAGTGAGTTTACTGTTTCTTACCGTAAGGCTTAGTTAATAGCCACAATACACTTATATGAAGAAAAAAAATTTAATAATTAATTGATCATCCGGATAAGCATAGGAAAATTAAATAGTTAATTAATCATTCAGAATTTCCGGTTATGTAAATAGCCTTCCGTAACGGTTGTGTTAGGACAGAAATGTTCTACCCACCCTCCTGTTTTGCATTTGGTAATTGGACTTGTTTGATACGATGAAATCACAATCACAAGAGTAGGCGGAAGTCTTTGAATTTGTCCCAGTTGAGGTAGCAGGAGAACTGCTGGGCGATGAGGAATTGGGAGTAGAGCGGCGGCGCGGTGGTCGGACTAGTTAGTAGGATGTTGGTTATGGTGTGGTGGAGCCTGTGATCCCATGGTGGCGACGGTGACGGTGGTTCTTCGAATTTGTGGTTCATTGGATTGACTTGGCGGGGTTCTCCGGCGAGGTAGTGATGGATGAGAAACGATCTGCCATTATTCTGGGCTGCTCTACTCCGCTCCGCTCCGGTGCTGGGGACGTTAGCAGTTGCTCGAAGATTACGCTGCCAGCGGATCATCTCCCCCACAAGCCTAAATACGGTCTTGTCGGTTACAATCACAAACGGTGTGGCGGTTACGCTTCTTGGCCGACGGTTCAGATAAGTATTCCTTTATCATTTATTTATTTATTTATTTATTTCCCTTAATAATTATCCTTCATACTTTATTTATTTTTAATTATTCTTTCCAACTTTTTTCTTTTTTTTTCGTATGTTGCCTTCTTTTTAAAATTATATACTTGCAAATTGTTAGGTCCTCGGAATTTAGGTTGTAACCTATTATTAAAAAAAATTAGGTGTGTATCGGGTGGTGCCGGTTATCTAGGGTTTCCCGATGACCTGGTACTCTATTTCAAGGGCGAATTGCTGCCTTGTGTCTATGTTCACTTGTTGGCTCTTTGGCCTGGATTGTCCTAGTAGGGACCTTTATTTGCTTATTTTGCATGTGAAGATTCAATTGCACAATAGTCGATCGGTGGCGGCTGTCTTGTCCACTAGGTGGTCTTTCGATGAGATTTGATGGAGCACTTGGAAATGACGCCCCTGATGTTGAAGAAACCCCTTGAACACTATTAATGTTTAGTTTGATGGTGCGGTCAAGCATAGTCACGAAGGTAGTATTGGCTTTGTGGTTTTCCAATCGTCAGGTAATATTCTCTTTGCTTTCGGAAAGTGTTATGAAGGATTATAAGATCCATTTGTTATACTGGAGGTCATACTCTGGTGGCTGACACATTCCTTTGTCTCTGTCAAATTTCATGGGGATTCACAACAATTGATACGGCGGGATGGTGGGAGGCTACTTGGCGCATGATCGGGGTGGAGCTCTACTAGAGGATACTCGGAGCTTAGATTCTCACTTCAGTTGGATTTCTTACTGCTTTGTCTTTCGTCGACTAAATAGGGCTGCCCATCATGTGGCACAAAAGGCCCTCTCATTAGGAGTTCGACTATTGTTCGACTCCCTCGTTTTTCTTTCTTCCTCCTTGTGACTATCTTTTCAAAACTGACTTTGCGGGGAAAAAACTGTTGTGTTAGTTTCAATAATAAGAACTATTGGCTAATTACGAGACTATGGATGGAAAAGGGAGGCTGTTATGGAAGGATTATTTAACTATTATAGCTGGTTGCAGGAAGTGGTTAATTAATTATTATCTTCTAGTTTATTATTTTGTGAGTTTTGGTTTCTGTTATAACAGTAATTAGTAATTACGGTTACAGAAAGCTATTAGTTTTCCTTCCAGCCCCCAGCTGTTAAGTATTTCCGTTTTCACTAATATAATAATTATGCTTTGGTTTTACGGAAGAAGATGGATATAATGGGCTCAATAATTGTATGAATAGCATACAGTTGTGCGCCTAAAAAATTTCGTAATATAAGTGTTTGTGAAATTATACCGCCCAAGTGGGAGATTGTTAGGAATTTCATTTCCTAACTTAAGTGGGCTAGCAAATTCACAAAATATATTTTAGCTAATTGGTTTTGATGGGCTAACTGTAAGTGGTCAGTACATGGAGCCCATGATTACTCAAGCCCAATATGGGTCCAATGGGTGGAAACCACATACATGTCCACTTGGGTTTTATGGGAGCCATTGTGAAACTTGTATATAAAGAAGTTGAGATTGTGGTCCCCAACACACCAAGACCAAACAATCTCATCTTCTCTCCATCAAGAAGATGAGAGCTCTCATGTAGAGGAATTGAGGCGGCTTGGTTGAGGAATGCCGCAAAACCTCTCGGGTCGTGCTGTCGCCAGTATCGTCCGGTCATAGATCAACCACCAGTTTCCGCATCAAGATCGAGATGATCTACAACTTGAATCCAGGTACTCCTATTAACCTTTGATAATCTAACAAGATGTGTTCTGGAGAAGTACATAGGCTAGAGTAAATTTCCAACAAGGAATTTTTCACCATGGTTAGCAAACCCACAAACTCTCCCGTAAATATTATTTTGGTATTTGTACTTCAATCTTTATATTTTGATTTTTTTAATTCGAGTTTAATAATTAATTCTATTTTTTTATAGTTAAATCAAATTGCAATAAGAACCGACACCAATAGCAAAGAACCGCTATGGAGCCCGCAAGAAACATCAATCATGTACATCAACCCTCATAGAGGTACCCAATGAACAATATCAAAACTAACTATCTACCCCAAGCCCCCTAGCTTCAAAGCAATCAATCAAACACTGATTAAAGAGGCAACGACTCCGAATGATTCTCCTAGCATCAAGTACAAGCTGAGGATGACTCTTTGCCGCAACAGAACCATACAACCTCGCACACCTTTCACGCCAAACCAGGCTAATGAGAACACTCCAGCTCATTCTGTTCAAAAAATTTGTTGGAGAATCTCTTTTCGACGCCGTGATACACCACTCCAACACAGCATCCCAGCCCCCAAGCACAGGGGGCGAAGCTAACCCCAAAACCTTACAACTCAAGAACTGAATATAAGAACAATACACAAACAAATGATTCCGATTTTCAACTCCCCCAGGACATAACAAACAGAGTCCAGAAAGCTGTTTACCCTAGGCAATCAACTTATCCTGCAGCTTAAGTCGGTCATTAATCACCAACCATAGAATAAACCCATGCCGAAGGATAATGTGCTTGTCCCAAACCATCTTAAACCAGCATACATCAGTATCTTTTTGCCTTAACGTCTCCCATACCCTCGTGACAGAGTAAGGGTTCATAGCCATACCATTCCACTACAACTCAGAACCAACTGTGGAAATAAAAGGTCTCACCAACTCCCTACACTTGAGCAGGCGCTTCCAAACCCAAGTCCTCGTTGTTGTCACCTTTAAATCCCACACAGAGGCCTTCACTCTATATCATGCAATCCAGGAAACCTATAAAGACCCCTATGCTGCCAGAATCGCCCAAAGGTGCCTGCATACACATGCTTTAGTCCACACAGAGAAATTCTTAATTCCCAAACTTCCTTCCTTTTTTGGCCAAGCAATAAACTACCAGGCAACCACTGCTCTCTTTCTTAACGAATTCTCATCAATATCCCATAAGAAACGGCTAGAAATAGATTCCACCTCTTTTATAACATATTGCGGCAGTAAGAAAATTCCCATCCACAACTGCAATACACTCGTAAGAACTGAAGTAATCAATTGCAAACGGCCTGCAAAACTAAGAGTTTTTTTTTTACCTCCAGCTACTTATTTTACCTGTGATCTTCTCAATCAAAACCCTGCATTCAGCCTTAGTAAGCTTCCCAGTAATCAACGGGACCCCCAGATATCTAACAGGCAATTGACTATTTGGGAACTTTGAGTATTCAGAAATCATCAACTTTTCCTCTTCTGGAATACCCCCACAAAATAGCTGGCATTTATCAGGATTACATTTTAATCCAGACACAGAGTAGAAAGCATCCAAGACACGACAGATACCAGCAACACCCCTGATTGACCCATTTGTAAAGACAACCAAGTCATCAGTAAAGCAGAGATGTGTAATAGCCAGTGGCTTACACCGAGGATAAAAATGAACCTGATTTTTTGCAACTGCTCTCTTTAATAGAGCATCCAACATTTCCATAGCAATTGTAAATAAGTAAGGGGATAATGGATCCCCTTGCCTTAAACCTTTTTTCATATCAAAGGAACCACAAATCCCACCATTAAGACCTACACTGACCCTGGGAGAGTGAACACAAACTCTCAACCAACCAATAAACTGAGCAGGCAGTCCCATGATTTCAAGCACAGAGAAGAGAAAAATCCAACTGACATAGTCAAAAGTCTTCATGATATCAATTTTTATCGCACATCTAGGAGTAATATTCCTCCTATGGTAGTCTTTAACTAGTTTAGCTGCCAGAAGAATATTATCACTAATAGAATGACCTCTAACAAAAGCAGACTGGGAAGGAGAGATTAATAATGGAAGAACAGCAGCTAACCTGTTTGCTAGAACCTTGGAAATTCCTTTATATAAAGTATTGTAGCAGGAAATTGGACGAAAGTCCTTCATTTTCTCAGCATTAGAGACTTTTGTCACCAGAGTAAAAAGAGTGGAGTTCACTGCTCGAGGTATAAACCCTGTTTGAAAAAAATGAAGAGCAACATCCTCAACTAAAGTGCCAATCAAACCCCAATGAAGTCTGAAGAATTCATAAGGGAACCCATCAGGGCCAGGTGCCTTATCCCTCCCTAGACTGAAAAACACATCCCTAATTTCCTTCCTTATCACAGGAGAACCATAGAGTTAGCAACCTCTGGAGAAAGACAATTAAGCTTCAGATGCTGATAAAAACTAGAAGGCTGGAGCAGCATATCCGAGTTGAACTTACCAATCAATTCAGAGTAAAATTTTACAGAAACTCTACCTATACCCTTCACATCAGTTACTTCATTCCCTTGCTCATCCAGAATTCTAGTGATTTGCTGCCTATGATTATGCACTTTCACAGTTTTATGGAAATAAGATGTGTTAAGATCCCCCTCCTGCACACTTTGCACTATGACTTTCTGTTTATAAAAACTTTATTCTGCCCTCTTGAGATCATTACATTGTTTAGCCAAAACTCCCTCCTCTTCAACAAGTAGTTCAGTGGGATTCTGCAACAGTACTGCTTGCAATGATTCAAGCTTCTCTTCTGCGTCCCTAGCTTGAGCAGAAATATTTGAATACACTTCCCTATTGAGCTGTCTCAAACTTTTATTAACATTCCTGAGTTTCCCATAGAAAACATAATGAGGCCAACCCTCCACTGAGATATTCCAAGCATCATTAACCAATTGCATATAAGAAGGATGGCTCACCCAAAACTTAAAATATTTAAATGGTTTAGGCAAGCTATCAATCTGGGGAGCTGGAGTAAGCAATAGTCCACAATGATCAGAGACCCCTGGGGGAGTAGTTTGCGTTGTACTGGCTAGAAAATTACTTAGCCAAGCTTCATTAACCAGAACCCTGTCAAGTCATTTCGCAATAGGGTTCCCTTTTTGCTTATTCCACCATGTAAACCAACTTCCTGCCATCTTATGATCCACCAATCTCATCTCCTCTATCCAAGTGTGGAAATCCTCCATGCTAGC